TCGAAACAAATCGGAGAGATTATATGTATCTCATTTTCGCTCGCTAAGAGCGCGTTATGTTTCTCGCTTCGTTCAGAAACAGCAGAAAGCGCCACCTCGTTTTCATCGGCCAGCTGTGTCTCTATGGGTATTACCATTCCCTTGCAGAAAAATCTGCTGCAATACCGACCAGTCAAATCGGAGAAGTCACGTGCCGTGTCTACCCCCTTAAGGGTGCGCAGGACCCAGAGCCAAACTCCGAGTTGACTTCAGTGACAGTCGCGGAAAAAATAGGAAACTCCGGGACAAGGACAGAGAGGGCGCTACAACAATTGCAGGAGAGACGAGGACAGGGCGATAAGGCCAGCATGATTCTTGTCAAGGATATTGAAGCAAAGAAGCAATATTTTTTAATAATTCTGGTTTCAAAATATTCCTTATACCTTGGCGCATGCCACTGTAAGGCCTGATTTTGGAAAAAGAGTTTGTAAACAAATTTATTCTATGAGAAAAAAAAAACCATACTTTTATTATTTATAGAGTTTCAAGATCGAAATTGAAAAATCAGGCATTAGAGTGGCATGCGAAGTGATGTAAAGAATATTTTAGAAAAAGAATCGTGAGAAGATATTGCTTCTTTGCTTCAATATCCCTGACAAGAATCATGGTAGCCTAATCGCCCTGTCCTCGTCTCTCCTGCAATTGTTGTATCGCTCTCTCTGTCCTTGTACCGGAGTTTCCTACTTTTTTCGTGACTGTCGCTGAAATTAACTCGGAGTTTGGCTCTGGGTCCTGCGCACCCTTAATTCAATATCTGTATTTGCCTTATCTGTTTGAGATTTTAATATATCTGATTTATTACTATCAGATTTACGAGACAACACTGATTTTGACTGCATGTCAGGTGAATCAGTTTCAGACTGTACCTCTACAGATCTGGATACTAAATCGGTTTTATTATGATAGGAGTTTTCTGCATTAACCCCTTCAGACTGTACCATTACCGGCTTGGATTCCAAGAAATTTGTCTCGTCTACAAGTACATCGCTAACAATGGCAAATTTATTGCGTTCCACATCCCACACTTTATACCCATTCGATTCATAGCCAACTAGAATCCCTTTCCAAAACTTTTCCTAAAATTTTGTTTGTCTTGTTTTATTATGAACATATACTGTCGAACCGAAAATTTTTAAATATTTTAGTTGAGGCTTTCTATTATGGCACAATTCACATGATATTTTTAATTCCTTTAACGCCTTAGATAGGGCCAAATTTATCAGAAACGTTGCAGTAAGCACGGCTTCACCCCAAAAAACCTTTTCTAAATTTGCCTCGGCAACTATTACACGAGCCCTTTCGATTATCTAGAGACGCGGTAGCGTCTCGACGCCAACTACATGAAAAATTATACGCCACCGTGTATACTGGAGCTGACGCTACCACTATCTTTTACTCGTAAAACTGCGATTCCAACCTACCCCGAAATTTCTGTCATTAATATCTCGTCACGCCTGCTATTTTCTAAATCTAAAGGCATTTTTCTAATGTAAATCGCATATAAGCTTTCGAATAAAACCAAAATCAATAAAATCGGTCTATGTACAACTGAGATATCGTAATATCATGTCATGAATCGGTCAGAAATTGTAGATTTTTCTTCTGATTCTGATTCTTATTTTTTCGCCAGTAAGTGCTAAAGCCGTTCGTCGATTCGTCAACTCTCGGAATCAGTCGGCAAGGCTCTTCGGTCGGAATTGTAATATGGCTGTCACTCATGCCGCTCGTTCATTTCTAACCTGTAACTGTCAGCTTGGATTTGTGACATTTGGTTTCTTGCAACAAGACTTTCTGACATGCATTCTGCGTAATTCTGAAAACTTAAAGGACTGAAAATGGAATTATAATACAATAAATTTTGCGTTACCAATAGTGGATCTCTTTGTACATTTTCCCACTTCATTTATTAACATTTAAATTTGTTACAACAAGATTTTCTGCTACGCGTTGTGCATACTTGTGAATTTTATTCTAATACAATAAATTGTGCGTTACACATAGTGGATCTCTTTCTTTATTACTCATTTCATGTTTAACATTTCAATTTATAGCAACAAGACATTTAGCGATGCGTTGTGTGTACTTTGGAAACATAAAAGACTGAAACTGGTATTATAATATAATAAATTGTAGGTTAGAAATAGTGTAGACCTCTTTTTTCATTTCATACTTCATTTTTAACATTTAAGTTTGTTACAACAAGACTTTCTGCCTTGCGTTCTGTGTGCTTTTGAAACCTTAAAGGATTCAAACTGATCTCCCATTTTCTATTATTTGAAGTCATTCACTATAGAAATTAGCTTTGTAAAAAGAAGTGAGATCCCCATAAAAAACTTCAAAAAAGTAAAAAAATTACGCTAAGTACATGAAAAAGTGGAGGACTTAAAGAGTAATCATAGAAAAATAGAAGATCACCCTGAAAAAATTCAACAAAGTAGAAAAAGAAGAGAAATCGAAATAAGCTGCCAGTATATGAAGGTGCTTTCCAGCAAAGTGCAAGGTGGCACTGTGTAACATAATATCAAATTCGGTGCTTTCCCACTATGCGCAGCTAAAATGCTGTGTTCAATAGTGCAGACGTTCGGACTCTAATGACAACTCATGTAAACTGACTGCTCCGCACTTTGGCGGTGAAATGAAGAAGCTAAGTAGTGTATCAACCACAAACTGAGACTGTTTAGACATTTGCCCAGATGTCCGTGGCCTGGAAGTCAAATGCTTGGTGTGGCCAGGCTAGGTCAAGGTTTTGATGAATAAGAATTATTTTAAAATGTAAAATATAGAAAATGTACTCATATTATCAGCGTTTTAAACTAACAAATTATCTGAAAGCCTGTGAGAGGAGGGGTATCTGTGTCAATGAATGTCCTTAGAAATATTTTAAAACACAATAAAATGAAAATACACTCATATTGTCAAAGTTTTTAATTGCCAAATTATGTGAAAGTCTGCGAGAGAGAAAGTATGGGTATTGATGATCTGAGAATGCTTTGCCTGGCCACGCCAAGCATTTGACTTCCAAGCCACGTACATCTAGGCAAATGTCTAAACAGTCTCAGTTTGTGGTTGATACACTATTTAGCTTCTTCATTTCACCGCCAAAGTGCGGAGCAGTCAGTTTACATGAGTTGTCATTAGGGTCCGAACGTCTGCACTATTGAACACAGCATTTTAGCTGCGCATAGTGGGAAAGCACCGAATTTGATATTATATTACACAGTGCCACCTTGCACTTTGCTGGAAAGTACCTTCATATACTGGCAGCTAATTTCGATTTCTCTTCTTTTTCTACTTTGTTGAATTTTTTTAGGGTGATCTTCTATTTTTCTATAATTACTGTATACAAAATTTGTTTTCTTCATATCTTTATAGTCATAAGGCTTTTCTAGAAGAGGCTTTAGGATTTTGTTTTTTATTAAAAATATTATAGAATATGTATGCCCGTTTTTGTTTTTTTTTTTTTTTTAATTAAAGTACTCACAGATGTCGTTTAAGTATTCACCATGACTACGCTGACAGGCGTATTTTGTTATCAGAACAATAAAACATAAAAGAAAGATAACTATACGTTATACATCGCAAAATTGTAAACTTATATTATGGACCTATACATGTTCTAAAAGAGTCAATTCAAACAAACTCGAAGTCTATATTTTCCCATCTTGATAAAAATTATTTTTATTGCTGTGTAGGTGTGGTTCTGGTAGTGTTCGGTATCTTGGTGTTGGTACACGGTGCCTCGTTAGGCGGTTCAGGTGCAGGACTCTGGGCAGGTGCGGGTGCCCTTGTTGCAGGAGCTTTGGGTGTCGTCGCGACGCTCGCTACATCGTCGAGCAAAACGAACTCCAGCTTTTCGACGGCTCACCTTGCTGCGAGCCTGATCGCCCTTGCCCTCTCGAACATGGCCGCCATTACGGCCTTGACTGCCATCGTCAGGGACTCCCAGAGGACACCGGAAATCACTTTATTCACTATATCGGTATGTAACGTTTACGCTTTCAACGGTAACTCTGTTTCTGCTTGTTTTGCAGCAGACGCTGACATATATTAGTATTTAAGAGTACTACAGTATGTATTCGGGAAGTCATTACTGTATGTATTTATGGCGAAGCTTGTAAGAACGATATAAAAACGACTATTCCGTGAAATTGAATATGTATTTAACGTCTTAATGTTATCGTTCAGGATCAATCATTATAAGACTGTTCATTTTCGAACGAAAATCAGTAATAGAGATCCCCATAAAAAACTTCAAAAAAGTAAAAAAATTACGCTAAGTACATGAAAAAGTGGAGGACTCAAGAAAGTAGAAAAAGAAGTGAAGTCGAAATGAGCAGCCAGTACATGAAGGTCCTTTCCAGTAAAGTGCAAGGTGGCACTGTGTAACATAATATCAAATTCGGTGTTTTCCCACTATGCGCAGCTAAAATGCTGTGTTCAATAGTGCAGACGTTCAGACCCTAATGACAACTCATGTAAACTGACTGCTCCGCACTTTGGCGATGAAATGAAGAAGCTAAATAGTGTATCAACCACAAACTGAGACTGTTTAGACATTTGCCTAGATGTACGTGGCCTGGAAGTCAAATGCTTGGTAGATATGAATTACGGTTAATCGTTACCGAAGAGGTATGTGTGATTCCACATCAGAGGTAATTCTCTTGACTCGTGTCTATTTAGCGAAGCTATCGAAAATTTAATGGTGATTTAAGCAGGAAAGCAGGACTATCGCAGACTTATTAGTCTCTCTGTAGCAAACAGGGCAAGCAAAAATCAACAAATAATGATTAAGTAATTGCATAAATTCGAAAATATTGTAAATTATCTTATCTTTTATCTCCTCGTTGCTTTGAAAAAAAGATGTTAATGTCATATGTGTATGTTGTGTTTGAGGTGTCGAAAATGTGACGATGAGAAGAAACTGTGACGAACAGAAAGTTATTGCGACGAACGTTCTCGTAGGACACGTAACGGCAACCGCCGTTGTACGTAAAACGTGGCGAATAAAACCACGCGCACGTGCGCCACTTTTTCCGGTCGAGACGCTTCTGCGTCTATCTTACTCTTCTTGCCCGCTCTCTGCGCTCGCGTGTGGGCACTGTATTTAATAAATGAGAATCTATCTAACACCCTCTTTGCTAACAAAAAGTTCTTGTACTATGCATAATGGAAAAATACAAACGAAAATAAATCTTTGGTTGAAAACAAGAATAAAAAAAAAAAACAATGTTTGAAAAAACGTATTTATTCTAGTATCTTATAATTACTTATTTGTAGATAACTTCAAAGTCTTTCAGTCGCAAAGGTAACTTCAAATTTCTCCGCGGTCTTTCCGCCGTTTGCCTGGGCGTACTTGTAATAAGGTCCGCGCCACTTTGTGTTGTTCTTCCGGCTGCGTTGCCGGAGTTTGTGTCGGTATTTGCGGTAGTGACACTTGTGTAAGGCTAGGTGCATCCACCGCAGGTTCTTGACGGACAGTTTCCGCTGTAATGGGTGTATCACCAACGGTGGAGAAATCTATATCTTTCAAAACAGAGCTCAAAAAATCAGCTGATTTCGCGGGTGTCTTTTCGCCTATTGCCCGCATCTGATTGACGTGTCTCTTCCAGATTCGCCCATCATCCAACTTAATTTTGTAATGCAACTCGCCTATTCTTTCTATTATCTTTCTGAATTTCCATTTGTCTGTGCCTAGGTAATTTCTACAGCTTACCCTTTTCTCCTTTTCGAAAAACGCTAATGCTACAGTCTTTTGGCATTTTTTCTCTATTTTTGGGAATAACAAATCCAAACGTGTACGTAATTTCCTATTAAACATTAATGTGCCGCATTTCGATATTGTAGTAGAATTTGTTGTAACGCCCTATGTAAGTTCGCTTGATTAGGTCGCATACGTCACAAAAAGTTTTTGATAGTTTGCACATAACGTTTCGCTTGGCCGTTAGTTGAAGAGTTGTAAGGTGCTGTGAGTTTCTGAACGATTCCATTTTGATTTAAGAATAATGTGACTTCATTACTTCTAAACGTCTTGCCATTATCGGAGACCAATTGTTTGAGTAATCCAAAAGTAGCGAAAATTTCCCTGTACACTTCGATTGTAGTTTTCGTGGACATATCTTCGACTATATGTACTTCCGGCCATTTCGTGCACGCATCCACCAAAACAAAAAAATAGTACCCTAAAAAAGGCCCTGCAAAATCCACGTGTACGCGACTAAAAGGTGTTGCAGGTGGTTCCCACAAGTGTGGTTCTATTTTAATTGGATTGTTTTTGAATGAATTGCGCTCTTGACAATTTTTCGCGAGTGCCTCAATGTCGTAATCCATATTCGGCCACCATACATAGCCTCTAGCAGTGATGGGCAAAACCCTAGGCTTCGAATAAATCTGAAGTTTGCCGATTGTTTGTCTCGTTTCCTCTCTTGAACATTTTCCAAAGAAGGAAACGAGATAAACACATCGGCAAACTTCAGATTTATTCGAGGCCAGGGTTTTGTCCATCACTGGCCTCTAGCAATGCTTTTCATCTTAGCTATTCCAAAAACTACATGTAATTCTGACAATATTTTTTTACATAAAGCTGCTTTTACATAAACCACCCGGTGTCCTCTCAAAATTACCCCATTTTGTAATGTAAATTCTTTTAAGTTTACTGTTCCGTGGCAATCTCGCGTCGACCGATTGGCCGTCACGGTAATTCAACGCGGATTGAATTCTTCGGCAGAGGTTATAAGTCTCGGCCTATCCCTCGGACTCGTTGTCTTACCGCGACGCGTTGTTTCCGTAAATTAATGCGTAAACAACTGTTTCGACAATAACTTTGTTTTGACTTTCGAATTGACTATGCGAGTGACTGTTCGACGTATGATTTCGAAGTTGTATATTCGGCGTTTGTTTTCGAAGTGACGACCCGCCGTCGTCTTGACTACCGCGACGGTGTCGGAGTCTCAGGTCACACGCTGATTGGTTTTCGCAAAATTGGAAAATTATCAATCAGCGTGTCCCCGTGTGTATTGGACCCACCCTTCCTAGCTCCTTTAGAGCATCTTCGTTTAAGAAGGGTGGGAATCTCGGTCGGTAGCGGGAGGACCCCGAAAGTCCGGCAATGCCGGGGCCTTTCCTCCAGGTGAACATGTGGCGTACCGAAAGTACCGTTGGGTCCGAACGTGACTGTGCCAAAGCCACCCTTCGAAAAGACCGAGATTATGATAGAAAAGCGGCCGTTGAGGACGAAGCAAATTGAAACTTTAACGTTATGGCAGGGTCATCGACTAAAATAAATTACTAAAAACGACTCGAAATGTTGACTCAAAAACGGCTATTTGACGGTCCCGTCATAAACAGACTTTCGAAATCCTCGATCAGATGGTCCGTGAAACGGAACATTTACATTCGCGAAATTATACTTAGGCGGATTATCCTTTACTAATAAAGTTCTTTTTAGTTTAACTAACATTGTATCCTTTTCCGTAGCTGCCGCTAAATCGACATGCGTAATTGGTAAACTTTCGATCGTCTCCAATTGAAACGCGTCAACTACATCTAGCGGTGTATTTTCTCTAATTGGAAGTCGTGACAAACAATCGGCATTTGCGTGTAATTCCGATTTACGGTATTTTATGCTGTATCTAAACCATTGCAAAAAAAGTGCATAATGTTGCATGCGCATTGCGCTATAAGCTGTTAATAAAAGTTAATAAAATTTGTATTAACAGGTGGTGATCTGTAACCAACGTAAAATGCCCACCTACCAGATATTGGTGAAATTTTTTTATTCCGAAGATTATAGCATACGCTTCTTTATCGATCTGGGAAATAGATTGTTGTGTTTTAGACAACGTTTACGATGCAAATTGCATGGCTCACTCTCTACCATCCGGGTACAGGTGTGATAACACTGCTCCCACACCGTAAGGACTTGCGTCCGTTGCTAAAATTAGTGGTGTAGCATACTGTTAGAGTTAGCGTGATCGGAGGGTTCAGAATAAACGGCACTCACGGTTAACTTGATAAAGTTTTAATAATTAAATGTCATCAGAACACAACAAAAAAACAGAAACACTGCGTGGTCCTTTACTACTACGCTGTACAAACAAAATAAATGGTATTTGCAATAGTTCCAGTATTTTAAAAAAAGCGAGAATTAACTGCACAAAGCGCGTGGATATTAACTTCTAAAAAGCGAGTGGACAGCGTAATTATAGGCGAGAGTAAAAGCGTTCAGAGTAACTAGCTAATACACGTGCTGTACGTATGAAGCGTAAACTGATAATGGCGTCTTCCATGCGGCATACCGGCATCGGTAACGGCACACCTGCGAGTTAAGATCGCGATCAGCGCGTGATATGAACGCTGATTCGCCAACAGATACTGTCGTGTTTTCCACGGTCTTACGGTATGGGTTCTTAAATAGCTACTCGAGTGAATGGTAAAAGGTAGTTTATTTGAATTAACTACAGGTGTAACTCGCTCGGCGGTCTAGACCAGACTGCCTAACTTACGCAGCGTATGACGACTAGCGCCGAATGTCGCCAGTCGAATACATTACAATTCCTCCCCTTTTTAATTGATGCTTACAGTTTTATTTGAGATACGTGATGAACGCCGTAAAGTAACATTATTCTTTCTTATCAATTGATCGTTATGACGCTTTACAATTTTCTCCGGCGCCACTTCGATTGCATACGTTGAAGGTGACAGATTTTTTTCTAATTGTGCCTTCAATTCTCTAGCTCCGTGATTACCCGACATTACCTTATCCCCTTCATCGAATGCTTCGTTTCGACTCCCTGGTCTAGCTACAATTTGAGCTCGCTGTTTCTTATACACTATGTCGCTTACATCAGGTTTTAACAAGTCGAATCTCGATCTCAATTCTCGCTTAAACACTAGAAACGTTGATGATTTGCCCGTAGTACAATGTTTTGCGTTTCTGTAATCGAACATAAATAGATTTACCGCGACTTCTAGCTTCCCTCC